TGTTCTGAAACGTGAAAATCTTTTTTTTAATTATCAGAAGCAACGATATCAGTTTTGAAACTCGCCTGATACGATGAATTCTGAGAATGAGGTCAAGGCCCTGCTGAATTGCAAGTCAACCATTTATTTGAATGATCTGCTGTGGACCTACGGCTTTGTCTGCGCATTACTCGAATATTGCAGCTCTGTTTAGCACCACGTGTTCGACAATGGGACGAGATCAAACGTAAAGCCACGCGACCTGAAAACTGTTCTCGCTAAGCTTTGGGCGCGCCAATCTGTCGATGGAAGATTCAGGCAAGCTCAGCTAAGCAAGCACTGCCGACCTCGCTGTCTGTAGCTTAAGCCATTTCCGCGCCATCGCGCGGCACCTTCTAGAATGTTAATATTATGACATTTATTATGGGTTATATCACAATATGTTACAAGATGGAAACAACGTTTGAGGTTTATGTCATTTGAAGAGTGAACGCTAACCGATATGGTCTCAAGAAATAAGCTAAGGGATTTTTTTCGTATGTTTGCTTAAGACTGCTACCCACACACTCCGTAGTTTTTCTTACGACTGCCTTTTCCAACCACCCCAGCGAACGCGTTCGATATCGAGGTGGAATTGCTGTAGAGATGTTGAGAACTGAATCCAACTGAAGTGAAGTGGCCAGCAGGTCGTCGGCCACCCAGCAGCGAGCGCCATTTTCGAGCAAAGCGAAAATGTTCGGGACTACCATTCCATAAGATTGCGTGGCAGAAATGCAGGACCGAATATTCTGCAGCATTACAAGCAATACGAGCTGTTCTCAATTTCGACTTGACGGCAGAATGAATGTAAACGCTGTTCGCTTAGCGACGGGGACTTGTATCACTGCACCAAATGTCCCTGTGGACCTCAGTGTCAGGTTTCTCGACTTCGATAGCGTGGAACGCTGTTCATTGTTAGACTGGTATTCAAGGTAGACCTCATCCAAGGAATGGCATGGTTGGAACACCATGAACCATGGATTGATTGGAGGTCGAAGACCTTGGGTGCTACGCCCACGTCTCCTGGTGGAGTTTTGGTGAGTCATGAACCCACTCTGCCAAAACGTATAAGCGCTATTGGCGCGGGCATTGGGTCGGGATGGTCAATGCGCTGATTATCGGATAATCCGAATTATCGAACACCGAAGGTGTATTGGACAGGGGTTCAAGCATGGCTCACGGGCTGAACGTGAAGTGGCACGTAGCCCACTGCGCTGCATAAGTATCAAAGCAGTTGCTGCATGCCATGCGTGGCATGGTCGACCAAGAGCCGAGGCATCGAAAGCGAGGCCCCGGCAATGCACGCGGAGTGGTGTGTAACCTACCGAGCACTACTCACGTTACAAAACAGTTGCTGCATGCCAAGAGTGACATGGTTGGATAAGGTCCGATGCATCGAGGGTGAGACCCTAGTGATGCACGTGGAGTGGCACGTAATCCGCTGAGCACTCACGCTTCGAAGCAGTTGCCGAATGCCAAGAGTGGCATGGTCGAATAAGGTCCAAGGCATTGAGGGTGAGGCCCTAGTGGATTGGCACGTTACCCACTGGATGAAGACTGCGGAAGTAGCAGCTTTTCGTCGGATGTTGTCAATAACATCAAGGCTCCGATGGAGCAGCGAGTGGGGACACTGGACGACGCCGAGTGTGTGTTCCCACTGATCTTTATGAAATGTAAAACCTCTAGAAAGAGGAGACGACGATCCCATATGTTATTTACAAGACGAAGGGCGTCGACCCTGACCCAGGGTGAGTCTACCGTAGACAATAGCGCACAACTATACACCATTGTCAACAGTAAGACGGGAGAGGAAGACGGCGACGTCACCCTCGGGGCTATTACCGCAGAAGATGCCCTTCTTGAGCTGGACGAGATGTCCTTCGGAGAGTTTGGCGGTGCCTCCAAGGCAGGCGTTCTAGCCGAGGTGGTCATTATAGGGCCAAACAAGGAGATCAACTTGGCTCCAAAGAACCAAAAGGACTTTCGAAGTGACTTGGCCTCGCAAACGGCTTGCACTAATTAGCGCAAGTATACGGAAATGGAACGGCCATTGTTAATCCTCCTTAAGAAAAATACAGAGCAGTGTTGGGACACCGAGCATCGGGAGGTTTTTGACAGGGTCAAAGACAGCCTCCTTCATGAATCAATACTGGCGTTGCCAGACTTCGATCGTCCTTTTGGTGTCGTCTGTGACGCTTTGGACTTTGCCATCGACAGTGCACTGCTGCAAACAGTCGCCGAGGGGCGAGATCAGGTGATCGTGTTCGAGTCTCGCCAGCTTAAAGCTGCGGAGAAGAACTACCCAGTACACGACAAGGGAATACTTGCGATGAAGTATGCACTTATCAAATACATGGTGGACCTGTATATCTCAAAGCATTTTGTGGTCCACACAAATGATGCGTCACTACGCACTGCGACTCAGTCGCCACACTTCTCGCGAGAGGATGGCAAGGTGGTCCACTTTCTTCGCGGAATATACTTTCGAGATAAAGCATAAGCCAGAAAGCAGAATGCTTTGACTGATGCGTTGTCATGCAGACCGGAATATGAGATTGCTCATGTCACGACGGCGACGTCGTCAGTGACAAATTTGATCCGCGTTGCATATGCGGGTGATGGTATGTGTGTAGCGCTGCTACTGGCCCTCGATAGCAAGGAGTTTGGAAACTCGTACAGGAGATTGTCGGCACGATTGCGCGCACGGTTACAACCGATATTCGCTGAATAACATGTTGCTGTATTATAGCACCGATTTCACGGATACGCCACGAAATGAGGTTTCTCACGATAAGGATTTAGAATACTGTATCTTCTATAAGACCCACTCAGTGGTATTCTCTGTCGTGAGAAGACCTTTAACTCTGTGAAGTGCCAATATCAAGTGTGCAAACGGACAAGCACATATATGCGCACGTGTAAGAGGTGTCAACGGGTGAAACCCTCTCCGAATGCGGCGGTGCCGCTGGCCAGTTCACCGGTATCCTCCAGGTGTTGGTAGTCCATGTGTATGGACTTTGTGTCTGGCCTGCCGAAGGACTCGGCGGGTAGCACAGGTGTGGTAAAATTTGTGAGCCGTTTATGCAAGATGGCTCATCTTGTGGCAGTGCCAAACATTATTGACGGTTTCGGTACAGCGACGCTGTTTGTGCGTCGTGCCTTTTGACAACATGGACTACTGGATACCCACGCTTAACTGAAACACTCTGGTCGACGATCTTCAAGGTGCTGGATATAAAGCTGGATATGTCAACAGCGAGCCATCCGCATACCGATATTTAAACAAGGTGCGTGAATTGCATTGTCGAGGACGTCCGTGGTAGCATCTGCGCTGAGACTCCGAGGCGACGGAGAGCCATACTGCCACTCGTAGCGTTTGTTCTGAACGATACAGTGCATTCGTCTACCAGCTACACGCCGTTCAACGTGAACGGGCTTCTTAATCTTCGAGTCCCGTTAACGCCGCCATCACATGGCTCAGGGGTTGGTGGCGGTGGTACAGTCGAACGGCTTGCTGATGTCAGCCCCCCTGTCCATAAAGAAGTCGATGACATGCTGTTTGCTAGACTTATTGTCCTACAACACGTTTGCGATATGATGACTGAATGCCAAGACATGCAGAAAGAATATGCAAATGACAGAAGAAATGTGGAAAATATTCAGGTTGGAGACCTGGTTCATCAACTGCTGAAAACCTTTCTATACATGCAGTCTCTGCTGTTCTTAAGACAAAATTCTGTCCATGATTTATTGGACTTTTTAAGGTTCAATAAATCATGGACAGAATTTTGTGGCCAAGAGAGGCCTTGCGTATACGCTGGACCTTTTGAGAAGGATGCGTACTCACCCCGTGAATTATATGAGCCTGCTTAAGCCGTACAGGGATCCGGCGCAAGTGAACGCGGAAGCGTTGATCCTGGGACGGCGCCCACGCGCTCGAAAGCCCAGCCGATGGACCAGAAACTGTTTTTAAGCACGGAGCGCAACGATCTACCTACAAACGGCGCCAAGCGCGCTGCCGTCGCATGAAATGACGCATTCGTCTGCTTAGCGACTAACAACCGCTACGACAAAGTGCAATAGCCCTCAACGTGAGGTAGCCGATGCACAAAGTGGTTCAAGCTCTTGAGGTCTTCCGCGCAGCGGTATGCGACCCCAGCATGGCGCACAGTGGAGTCCCGATTGCGACGGACCTCGTCCTCAAGACATCGAAGAGCATCGCGAGTAACTGGACGGCGATCGACCAAGTCGTCATCGTCCGCCACCGACACTTCTCGATGAGAATGTTGGTGCCCACTATCCCGTTAAAAGGCTTGTGGGTCGACTTCGTCGACAGGGTCGAACCCAAAATCTTTTGAAGTGGCGGGGATACGCAAACTCCGAGAACTCGCGGGATTTGTT